TTGTGTGTGTGTGTGTTTGTCCCACATTTTGTCCCGCACTTTCAACTCGGGGACCACAAAAGCTAGACGGCTGAAATTTTAGTATATTGTTCCCCGCCAACGTATGACGCGGAAGATTTAAATTCACCCTTTCCGTACTCGCAGGTAACAAGTATGGCCCCGTAAAATTTTTTTTGGGTAAAATTACTACCACGGGAACCAAGCTGGAAGGCTGAAATTTTGTGGGCATGTCCCCTGCTCGTGTGCTACCCAAAAAATTTAAATTCAGCCTTCCCCTGCCCACGGATAACATGTACGGCTCCGTAAAAATTTTTGGCGGGTAAATTATAATCCCGGGAACCACAAAGTCTACAAAGCTGGGGTTTTAGGGTAAAGACCCCCTGCCCATGCTCAACTTTCCCTGTTCAAATTCAGCGTTTCCGCGCTCTCGGGTATCACCTACGGCCTCGTGAAAATTTTGGCGCGTGAACTATTAGCTAGGGAATCACGGAAAGATGTTCACCCTTCAAGGTTTCAAATTCAGCTTTCGTGCGCCGGTGCGTGAAATTTTTAGCTTTTTTTCAATGTTTCGACTATTTTTACATAGACTAAAGTACAAAGCAGTGAAAATCATTAATAGGCAATCGTTCGATGAGCTGAATTGCACAAAACGCATGATCGCACCGGTTAGTCTGGTGTGCGTTGCTATTTATTTATAACAGTGATAGGACACAAAAAAAGCGTTTTATTGAGAGCTTGCCGTTCTTTTGGTGTTTATGTATTTTGTGTGTGTATGTATGTATATGTGCGTGTATGTGTTTGCGCGTGTGTGTTTGTGTTTGTTTGTGTGTGTGTGTGTGTGTGTGTGTGTATATATATGTGTGTGCTGAATTGCACCATTAGAGAACTTAAAAAGCTGGGATTTTGAGGACATAATATTTAGCCGAGAAAACTAGTCCTTTGGCTTTAGTGGTTCATGACCGTACTATCATCCTTTCAACTCCACTGCATTTCGAATTTTTGTGCTTGCGTATGCGTGTTTTTGGTGTATGTGTACGGAATTGATCGTGTGGAGAGATTTATGCCAATACTTTCATTCACATCAGCCGCTTGGTACCTAGTACTGTCTATTGTGTTATTGCAGTTGATGTTGGCTGAGCCTGATAAACAAGCGCTGTACGGTGAAGTGAAAGCTCGGCATGATGATATTTTGAAGGTAGAAAAAAGTATAATTGAGCTTTATGGTTTGGTCCACCAGTTGGGTACACTGCTCGAGGAACAGGTATATTATCGGTCATCCTTTTCAACTGGTAGTAAGCAAGCGCTTTTTGGAAGGTGTGAAGCATGGTTACAGTGACCTGAGATTCTAACATTCCTTTGGGCAAATTTTGTATCGTTTACCTTTTCTGGGAGTTGTCTTTACGCCACAATCACCAGATATGTCAAAGGGCTACCGATTGTCACAAGTTCTTTCGTATCGTAGATTTCCTTAAAAAGTCGACTCAGAATAACCGCATCAGTCTCTTTTATAGCAGCTTCTTAGTATTGGCGGAATGTAGTCCTTTACAGAAACGGAGCTGTCCGATGTATGTTTTCTTGATGATGGGAAACAGTTAATCGGATGATGTTACAAGGGGGTGTGCTTTTGAGTAGTTACCTGCAACAAGTTCCACAAGAAGAGTGTGGATCAGCGCGGCGATTGACCACGTCGCGGTGTTGTACAACACACTGGTCCGGCGATTCGAATGATTTTTACAGTATATTGTTATATCAACATAAATTACCACTTGATGTTCTACTGTTTTTCCTGAAATATAAAAACTTGCAGGGTGAAGTGTTAGACAATATTGAAAGAAATGTTGGAAATGCGGCAGAGTATGCAAACAGAGCCAATTTGAACATTGATAATGCGAGGTCGGTGAGGGCAAGCGTCCGAAAGGTTCTTTTCTGAGTTATAGAGAACTTCGGGGAGTTAGGCAGTAATCGGCAGTAAATCTGTCTTCTGTGAGTGTAGGAATTTCATTTTTTCGTTCTCAAAAACTCTTCACTTTACGGCTTGCTGCAATATCGTCGGTGCACTGTGCTTGCCATTTTGCGGGCTGAAACGGCATTTAATTTGAGCTGTATATGTATACGTCTGCTTTACTTCGGAAGTGACCGGTACCGGAAGTGCGTGAACTAAGTTCTTGGTTAGTTATCGAATTTCTTCGTGGTATTGAAACCAACGCTGAAGCATAGGCTCGCATCTTACAATTTTGTGGAACTCCAGTTTGAGTTTTTATTCACATTGCAGAGGAAGATTTGCCTGGTGATTGCGCTCATCGTCTGCATTATTATACTGTTCGGTGTGGGAACGATGTCATTCTGTTTCTACGTGCCGTTTGTGTGCCGCTGAAGCGATTGTGTTTGGTGTTAACGAATACCTATAAGCTGTTTTAACAAATATCTGTGAGCTCTGTATAGTCTTTATCGGATGAATTGCCTTAGTTTTCTGTGAATCGCGGTTTATTTTATCGATAACACATTCACCTGAAGTTCAGAGTCATATCTGAATATATCAAAAACTGTTTTTACATTAGGGATCGAGCTTTTGTTTTCGAGCTTTTCTATTTTTGAAATGTTACGCAGCTTATCTGTAGTCTGCAGGTACAACTTGTTTATCTGTGACATTTGCCTTTCCTGTGAATTGAGCATGTTTCTTATGTGTTAAAAGAAGCTTTACTTGTCTTATTATTTAAACATTTGCTGTGAAAATGTTCATGATCCAGTCCTGTGCATTATAACGTGCCTTGTATCAAAATCTCAGTGAATCTGTCACTTACTGTTGTTTTGTTTTGTTTTTTTCTTCAGAATAAATTCTTTGTTTTTTTTTTTAATCAATTATTTTAAAGGGTAATTTTGAAAGGATAAATTTTGTGATGAATCTTAGATTGGTAATATTAAACACTGCCGGAAAAGCTCCTCCTCACAGTGCGGTGAGTCTTGTATCTTCTGCAGCGACGAACTTCACTGGGGTGAAATATCTGAAGCGTCGAAATATCTGAAGCGTCCTTTATTTTCTTTTTTTTTTTTTGTAATTGCACGCAATATTTCAGAACTTTTTGGGACAAAGGAAAATGGCAACATAAGCTTCTGCTCAGGAGATTTAGAGTAAAAGAAGTTGGCAAAAACAAAAACTGCGGATTATGTGCACAGGGGTAGCCAGTACAATCTGTACGTTTGCTCGGCGACTAGATACAGTAATTTCTGCGCAGAAGAGACAGATTTGCAGGGATTTTCTGCAGGGAGAGTTGATTCTCAGGATTCATCTTCCTTTTTTCCAGTTCGTTATCCGAGAAATTTTACGCTCGTAATTATTAATTTGATTGCAGTAAGTCTGGAAAAATACGCCAAATTATTTCTTCAGCTGGGACCTCTCGCAACTTCTTGGAGAGTTCGCTACTGTGGCGTCGAGTATCTCGCAGAGATTCATTTCAAAACATTCCCTTTTGCGTAACTCTATTTCTTTATCGGTTCGTATTGTTCGTTCCAGGTAAGGGCAGCTGTTCATGACCTCATCCGGGTGATTAATCAAACTGTATGTTGAGGTAGAGCTTGGACAGCATTCACGCTGGATTCAGTCATATTCAGTAAATTTTGTAGTAATGATAGTTTCCTGAGATGAGCACACTGTCGTCTGCGCGAATTAGAATTTGGCAAAATAAGACTGCCGAAACAATGGACATAAAGTCTCTTTGCTGTAGTTTTCTAAAAGTTGTTTCAAAGTTCTCTAATAAAGGCTTCCAGAAAAAAATGTTGCCTTGCCTCATTCCTGTGTTAGCTTTTTTTCATTCAGTCGTCGAAAATTTTTATTTCTGTGTACGATTTTGGAAATATGGGCAAAAAATTTCAAAGGCTCGGTATCAAGTTAAGAAGCAGTAATAAGTCGGAAATTCTGCAGATGTGCTTATGCGTTTTCGCTTAATTTGGCTGTGATTTTCTGGACTGCACCTTCTGGCTGCCATAGTGTCCTCGCGAATTCGCCTAGCCGAGAAACGCCCAAAACCAACGATCCAGTTGTTGCAGCTATAAGGAATTTTGTTTAGACATAAAAGGAAGTAACGTTAAGCAAAAAGTAAAATTCCGAGCAGAATAGCAATTTATTGTCCAACCGGCCGCCAGTTCACGCCTGCGCCTTATAGAGCTCTTCTTTCTTTATGAAGGAATTTGGCAGGTGGGAACGAAAATCCCTAAAAATTTTCATGACAGTTTGTTTCTAAATGCTAATTAGACAAAAAAGACGACCAGAGCAACAAAAATAATCAGAAAATCCTGGTATTTTTCGAAAAAATTGGTCTTATGTAACGAGTTCATGAACAACGATTTTTCTCTTTTAAGCAAATTATCTGAGTACGGCAGTGCGATGCTTGCTATTGCAATAGCGGATGGAGATAACAGCTAGTTGATGAAATGAATAAGTTGCCAGGACTGGTCGGGCTTCCTGCATAGCACTATTGTGAGTGCTAAAACGTACAGTAATTCACGCTTACGGAGGCATGTAAGCGTAAAATAAACTTTGTAACGAAAAGCGATTTCGCCAACTAGTTAAGCTACGAGCTGAACTTTTACGAAGCTTTCTATGCCAATGTGCTATCGAATATTTCACAGTCAGCTTTAAGTCACGCCAGGATATCGCTGCGCGCAAGTGGAATTTTGGTTTGGAACGTTGTTGGCACCCATTCGGTAACCAGACTGAGCAGGAAGCAATATTTTTGGGAGTATGTTTGCCGTTCATGTGAAGGCCATTAAGCATGAAATGAGCGTTTGTCTAGATATGGGTCCTGCATATGAGCACATCAAATGTACAAATTACAACACCGAAGTGCCCCTTCAAGCAACCCGTCTGCAGGATAGAACTGTGCAACCCTAAGTCTGAAAGCAACAGGTAGCTTGCCATGCGTTTTTGCTGTGCAGCGCTATAGCGCTGCTACAGCGAGCAAAAACACATACTGTCGAGAGGTCATCTGTGTGTGTGTGTGTATTCGGAAGTGAGTGGACTTTGTCATCCACCTTCAGCTCAGCAACAGGAAAGCTGGCAGGCTGAAATTCTGGGACATATTCCCACCCTTTTGTCACCCTCCTTTTTTATGCGTTTTTGCCGTGCAGCGCTAGAGTGCTGCAACAGGCAGCAAAAACACATATTGCAACGACCCTGTCAGTGTGTGTGTGTTTGTGTGTGTGTGTGTGTGTTCGTCTGTCCGGGTGTTTCAACTCGCCAACCACGAAAGCTTTGAAGCTGAAACTTTGCTAGTGTGTTCCCCAGCCAAGTGCCACCCCAGGACCGCGATATCAACTCTCACGCATGTCTGGGCCCCGCGTACGAGCACGCGAAAGTTTTGGCGCGAAAATTGCTAGCTCAGGAATGAGAAAAGCTAGAAAGCTGAAACCTTGGAGGAATGTTCCCTGCCAGTCTGTGACAAAAAGATTTCAAATTCAGCTGTCCAGGTGTACCCGGGGCTTACGTACGGGCACGTGAAAATTATGGCTGGAAAATTCATAACTCGAAGATGAGAAAAGCTAGGAAGTTGAAATCTTGGGGAAATATTTTCTCCTCATGCACGACCAAAAGTTTTCAAACTCAGCTCCTTAGGACTGTCTGGGGCTCACGTATGGGCCCGTAAAATTTTTTGGCGCGAAATTTACTAGCCCGGGAACGGGAAAAGCTGGAAAGCTGAAACTTTGAGGGAATGTTGCCTATTCATTTACGAGCAAAATCAGGTGGTTAAAAGCACCCGAGCCCACATACAAGCGCGCGAAAATTGTGGCGCTAAAAATACTAACCCGTGAACAGGAAAAGCTAGAAAGCTGAAACTTTGAGGGACGTTCCCTACTTATGTACGAGCAAAATCAGGTGATTAAAAGCGCCCGAGCCCACGTACGGGCACGTGGAAATTTTGGCGCGAAAATTACTAGCCTGGGAACGGGAAAAGCTAGAGGGCTGAAACTTTCCGGGAATGTTCCCTGTCCATGTACAATCAAAATCAGTTGTTTGGAGGCGCTCGAGGTCCACGTACGTTACGTGTGAAAGTTTTGGCGCGAGAATTACTAACCTGAGAACGGAAAAAGTTAGAAAGCTGAAACTTTAGGGTAATGTTCCCTACTTATGTATGACCAAAAGATTTTAAATTTCAGCCCCTTAGAATCGTCCGGTACTCACGTGCGGACACGTGAAAATTTTGATGGGAAGACTGCTAACTCGGGAACGGTAAAAGCTGAAGGCTTTAATACTGAGGGAATGTTCCCTACTCATGTGCAACTGAAAGATTTTAAATTTAACTCTTCTAGTGTGGCCTTTTTTACGAACCAGCAACTTTCCATTTGTTGGGTCACTGAAGTCGACATCTACAACTGACATATCATGTAGTTGCACAATTAACTCCCCGTCGAGGACCAGTATGTCACAGGGTTAGCTACTTTGATTCCTTGCGATTTTGCTACGACACGAAAAGTGCAAAAAAGCATAA